GTTCCTGAGTGTTTTTGCATACATTAAAAAAAGAAAAAAGAGGGAAAAGAAACAAATACTTTTGAAGGATGATGCACGGAGGGGATTGTAATCATTGCAACGACACAAAACATGATAGAATGAATGCAAAACCAGTGTTCACCCATGTAAACTATCACTCAGTTCACAATAAAAACTTGAAGAAAAAAAAAACACAGGAAAGGAAGAAAAGACCAAAGTGGATGTTAGAAGAGAAGAAGAGACTCTGAAACTTGTTGTTCAGCATAGATATGGTGAAGCAGATGGAAGAAATGAGGAAGTAAAGGAGCTGAACATAAAATTTTAAAGGACAGCCTAAAAAGATGTGGTGGTGGTGGTGGTGGTTATGTGCTGTGGAGTCAGTTCCAACTCAGAGCAACCCTGCACAGGTTTTCCGAGGCTGTAAACCTGTACGGGAGTAGAAAGCCTCATCTTTCTCCCGCAGAAGAGCTGGTAGTTTGAAACTGCTGACCTTGCGATTAGCAGCCCAACTTGTAACCACTACGCTACCAGAGCTCCTTCAAGAAGACATAGTCAAGTATTAAAAATTGCAAAGCCTTGGAGTTAGAAAACCTAAAGGGAAAGAGCACACTCAGAATTTCTCAAGCTGAAAGAACTGAAGAAAAAACTCAAGCCTCAACTTGGAATACTGAAGAATTCTATGGGCAAAATATGGAATGATGCAGAAATCTTGAAGAGAAGATGGAAGGTGTACACAGTCACTGTACCAAAAAGAAATGGTTGGTGTTCATCCATTTCAAGAGGTAGCATATGATCATAAACCAATGGTACTGAAGGAAGAAGTCCAAGCTACGCCGAAGTCATTGGCGAAAAACAAGACTCCAGAAATTAATGAAATACAAATTGAAATATAAATTGAAAAACAAACTGATGTAATACTGGATCCTCTCACTCATCTATTCCAAGAAATTTGGAAGACAGCTACCTAGACAGCTGATTGGAAGACATCCATATTTTTGCCCATTCAAAGAAAAGAAAATTGAAACAGAATGTGGAAATCACTGAGTAACATCATTAATTTCACATGCAAGTATAATTTTGTTGAAGGTAATTCAAAATTGGCTGCAACAGTATATTGTTAGGGAACTGCCAGAAATTCAAGCTACATCAGAAGAGCACATGAAATGAGAGATAGCGTTGCTGATGTCAGGGGGATCTTGACTGAAAGCATAGAATACCAGATAGATGTTTACTTGTGGACAGGCATTCACTTGTTTGGATTATGACAACCTATGGATAACATTGAGAAGAATGGATATTCTAGATCACTTAATTTTGCTCATGAGGAACCTGTACATCAACCTAGAGGCAGTCTTGTGAACAGAACAAAGGAATACTGAGTGGTTTTAAATCAGGAAAGGTGTGCATCAAGGTTGTATCCTTTCATCATATTTATTCAGTCTGTATGCTGAACAAATTATCTGAGAAACGGCATTATAAGAAGAAGACTATGACATCAGGATTGGAGGAAGGCTCATTTACAACCTGTGATATGCAGATAATACAATTACTGAAAGCAAAGAGGAGTTAAAATGCTTATTTTTGAAGATCACATGCTACAGTTTTTGGTATGGGTTGTACCTCAATATAAAGAAAGCAAAAATCATCACTACTGGAACAATAGATTACATCATGATAAATGGAAAAAAGATTGAGATTACTAAAGATTTCATTGTGTTTGCATCCACAGCCAACACTCATGGAAGTAGAAATCAAGATATCAAAAGACATACATGTATTAGGCACATCTGCTGCATAAGATCTCTTTAAAATATTAAAGTCTGTGCTTTAACCTGGATTTGACATTGCCCAAAATAACACGTTTGACTGGACTCCCTAGGCTTTATTTCTAGAACTAAGAGCTAGGAAAAGTTTTTAGAGTTCCATTGAAGATGTTAATTTGTCAGTAAAAGGCTGCCTTCTTTTATAATTGGAGGAAAGAATAGTGCAGGTGTACATTAATTCATCAAATAGATGAATTCTGATGATCTGACAAGTCTGGAGAGGTGGTGGCATGTCTCTCTTTGTTCCTCATCAGGAAATTCCCTCTCCTTTCCTTTTGGTTAAAGTACTCTGAACTCTCATTCTCTGGGCTTGTGGATTCAGGGAGCTCCATTTTGGTGGCAGGATATAGCTATGCTTGAAGCATACCATCCTGACTCTTAGTGTCCAAGAAACATCTCTGCTGGAAACTCTTCTAATTTGCTCACCCTTCACCTAGTGATGAAGAGATCAGAACTTTGCTTGCTCTCGCGAAAAGTGACTTTTATACTCTGAATAAAGCTCTATTTTTTCCATTTATATTTCTGATTGAATATATTAGTAAGAAAGTGGTTGCTTTCTATTTTTTTAACACAGCTTCTTGAAACTGGTTCCATAGTGTATTAAAATATTCTTATTTGTGGTATCATAGTCTTTCAGCAAAGTCCTGGTGTACGCTGTTAGATAAGCACTGGAATGCTAACCTCATGGTCATCGGTTCAAACCCACCAGCAGATAATTGGGAATCCTATATAGGGTTACTACGAGTCAGAACCAACTTGACAGCACTTAATGACAATTCTTTAACAGTCTTATTTTACCACTTTGGCTTCATTACATATGTGTTTGTGAGCAGAATATGGCGGAGAAATTCTGAAAGTTGTGTGAAACAGCATCAAGATGTTATAATTAAAGAAATTATTTGCCTCACCAAGTGCACTTGGTTGTTAAGTAGGCTATTTTATTTTTGGATCCTGCTTTTCAGTTTGTGTTCTTTTCCCCCTTCCAATCCCGCATATATACTAAATAGTTACATTCTCATTATTTATAGTAAGCAGTGCTTACCCCCACATCATGGACTGCTGATACTCATTCAAATATAAGAATTCATTTTTAAAGTTATAAAATTGTGGTAATCTCATTAAAGCAACCCAGAAACATTTGAAAGATAGAATGGAATATACACCTTTCAGTATGCCATTTTTCTAACATAAAACAAGTCACCTTTTTTTCCTGCTAAGACATGTTTCCTCTACTAAGACGTGTTTCCTCTGCTAAGATGAGCTTCCTCTGCTAAGACGTGTTGAAGATGAAATAGAAGGAATCAGAAAAGCAAGCACTGAAGGACAGTGATGTGTCTCAGAACTGTTAACAACATTCTGAGTGCCTTAGTTCTCTATGCAGCTATAACAGATGTGCCACAGGTGGATGGCTTGAAGAAGCAGACATTTATTTCCTCAGACTTTAGGAGGTTAGAAGTCTGAATTCAGAGCAACAACTTTAGGGGAGGGCTTTGTCTGTGTTGGCACTGGTAGAAGGTCCTTGTTTCTTTTACTGCTGCTTCCTGGTTCCTTGGAGACCTCCATGTGTCTTGACATCTGTTTAACCTCATCTCTCCTTTTACTTGCTTGTTTAATCTCCTTTATATCTCAAAGTGATTGATTTTGCACACCCTTGTTGTTGTCAAGGATCTTGGAGTAGGTTCCTACACTAATCTTAATTTCTTACATAACAAAATATCTCATTCCAACATGGGATTATAATTATAGACATAGAGATTAGGTTTTGTCTTGAGTAAAAACACATTTTCAGGGGATACAATTCAATCCATAACATTGAATAACTATAGCCACTTTAAACTAGTGACCTCTTCTGATTTATTGGTTGCTGTATTTTTCTATTCTATTAGCTTATGACTAGAAAAATGATTAGAGGAAAAAATTTTTTTTAAAATAAGGATAAGACTCATATGCTTGATCAGTGATTTTGTGCTTTTAACTATTTGTATGTAATAAGAAAAGAATACTTTCAGTGTTAGATCATTCGTTTTAATGAAATATTAGTCAATAAAAGGGTGATGGTGATTTTTTTAAAATATAGTGCATTGGCATAATTATGCATTCTTAAAAACTGTAGCTTATTTATGAACATCAGACTCATGTTTAAAAGCAATGCAATAAAACAATGAAAAAATACATTGTATTTAAAATTTTTTCAGTTTAGCTTTCATGAGCATCTTTTGCTTGAACCTTATTAATGCAAAAGAGGTTTGAGGTGATTGCTGTTAAGTGCCATGAAGTTAGTCCTGTCTCATAGCAACCTGTATGTTTCCAAGAAGTAGCTGGTGGGTTCGAACTGCCAACCTTGTGGTTCAGAGTCCAGTGCTTATCCTACAATGTCACACCAGTATGTTGTTGTTGTTGTTAAGTGCTGTCGAGTCGATTCTGACCCATAGCAACCCTGTATAAGGTTTCCAAGGAGCAGATGGTGAGCTTGAACCAATGACCTTGCAGTTCAAACGGCTTTGCAGTATGGCCCATTAACCCACAGCGCCACACCAGGACTCCCACACCAGGATAGTAGATGATAATAGGATCTAAAAAATAGGAACTTTAAATGTTTTTCTTTATTTTGAATATAGTATGTGCTCATTGTTTTACATTTGTTTGACAAATGGAAAGATTTGAATAAGAAATCAAAATGCTCATTTTCAAATATTAATTTTTTTAACTTTTTGGTGTACACTTTTCTAGTGTTTGTCTTTTACCCTGCATGTGTGTAATAGGATCATGTTATAATTTTTTTTAACTTAATAAGGTATTGCTTGTATATGATACTAAATGTTTTCTAAATTTTTTAGTAAATCTAAGCAGCTCTATGAACATACTTTTATCTAATCTTTGGATCCTGATTTTAGTTTTTTGTGTTTTTATAAAGTGGATTGTTGAGTATAGAGAGAGCAATTTAAAACAATTTTGACTCATAGTTGTCCATTGTCCTCTCGAAAGGTTCCACATATTAATATTTCTAATATATCTGATTTTTTTCTTATTTCTTACTACACTGATATTTAGATGTTAGATTTCATGAATGGATTTACAGATGATTTCCTATCCTGTAGGTAATCCATTATTCTTTTATTTGTATTACTCTGAGATGACTATGTAACTAAATGGAAATAAACTTTTATTTAATTTCAGAATGACATTCTGCCTCTTTCAAATTCAGTGCCTGAAGATGTGGGGAAAGCTGACCAATTAAAAGATGAAGGTGAGTATTTCAGAGAAAAATCTCTGTTGTAGTAAAATTTCCTGTAACTCTGACAAACATGACTCTGTCGGTCAGTAAGGCTAGATTATCATACATCTACGTGACACTTGTGGAACAAACATGAGTATGATGGATAAGAAGCCTGAACATACAGAATGACTTGTGGGAAGTATAGGTACGACTTGCTCGAAGGAAAGAAAATATGTTGACAGACTTGCAAATGAATAACTTAAGAGCTAATTGATCAAAATTGCATTTCTTATTTATACTCTAGGATCCCAAATTCTTTATGCTTGATCAAAGAGGGGTAAATAACTTTTAGTGTTATTCTAGCTTTGGTATACTTAGTGTTTTTGAACTCTGTGAAATTTGTTAGTTCATGCATATGATACTTGACCTTAGTGTTTATTAGCAATTAGGTTTGATTACCTGGACACATATTTTTGTTTTACCAAATAATACACTCTTGAAAATCTGTGTCTAATTCTTCTATCGTGTCTATTATGTTAAGATATAGTACAGAGCTAAGTCAGGTCAGAGGGCTTGTACTAAGAATCTGTAAATTAGAGCCTTTATTTTTAGTTGTCAGTGAGAGCCAGTGCAATCCAATTCCTGTTGTT